CACACACACACACACACACACACACACACACACACACACACACACACACGTGGTGTGGTGCATTAAAGAAGTAGGATGCCGTCTGTAAGAACAAAAAGGGGTTTCCATACTACTTAACAACTTCATTAGTGCCCTTTCCACACTTTTGTGGATATTTTGCAAAATAATCTTTTTACTCTACGTTTGCGTCTCTTTTAAACGCAAAAAGGGTTTTAAATAATTAAAACTGAGATTTTTTTTTGAGCCATTCGAAAATTCCAGTTTCTGTGTATCACGGTGTACATTTAAAAGGAGCAATGTCCCAGCATACTTAGGACATGCTAACGTTTGCTTTGTGTAATGAGCATACGCTGCTAGGTCTAATTACAAGTTTGCAGCTAAATGTTGTATAACTATGCCACATTACCACAGTGACAGGCATCTGTCTGCCCCAATATTAGAGTCACACATGAAATGCAAAGCAAATATATTATCAAAGTTCACTCCAAGCAAAGCCACACTTTGTGAATGTAATATTCAGCCCCTCGCTTGTGTGATCGAAGGTTATCCGCTCACACATTAGCATAAGGGTGACTGTGCCCTTACTCAGGCTTACTTGAGCATTTGTTGATGCATGATAACAGTGGTGCAGGCCAGCTCAGGTTGGCTTGGAAAGGTCATGAAGTGAAAAGATAAGGCCAAAGGGTTTTGACTTGTGATGTTGTGAACTTGACAAAGTTAAATATGCGAACAAGTAGCTTTTGTTGTGTGATGTTGATGGACACCCACTGTCCCACAATTTAATTAATTTTATTTTTTATAAAATGCCAAATCACAACATACGTTATCTCAAGTCACTGTACATCGTAATGTCGAGACCTCTCAAAATTATAGAGAAAATCAAAGTTTGGACTTTTCATCACTGGTTTTCAAGTAACAGTTTAGAAACCTACCAAAGAATAAACATGTAGTCAAAACAGTCTGTTGTATGTTTGATACTATTGGCTTTGCTTCAAAGTCACGGTGTGATTGGTCCTTTGAGAGCACATCTCCTCTGTAGAAAGTGATGATACACATTAATTTCTTGTTCCAAAGATTATTATTTAGTGTTCATTTTATTTCATTACTATACATTATGTAGGACACTTCCTTCATTCAGAGTGAGGTGAAGAGTCTTGGCAGGCTCTCGCATCTGACCGCTCGCTTTCATCTTCTTACACTGTAATGGAAAAATAAATCATGACTCCTCCTGAGAATAGCACACATCAGAGAAACACAGATCTCTCACTTTGGAAATAGATTTAAGAAATTACTTGGCAGCTCTTTTTACAATGTGTGGTTAACCTGGGCGTTCAGTAATTACTGATTGTTCAAATCATATATGGCTAAAATTACCGAATTAATTGTGTCTCAGTGCCAACATAAAAATTAGCAATTATCTATCTTTAAGATTCAAATAGCCGATTTTTCAGACAATAAGTTTGTTCCTACAAAAATGAAACGAGGTTAGTTAAAAATCTTGGTAATATTTAAAGCATTGAGAAAGAGAGAGAGAGACTCCAGAGGTGTGTCTCAACTGGACACGATTTGATTCTCATCCTCCCCCTGATACCCAAGAACTAAATAAATCTCATCTTATTACACATCATGTACTGGTTTGTTTATTCCCCTATTCTTGCTAATCCAGACACTAAAGTGAACAAACGCCTCAGGACAGTGACTGTTCCTCGGATCAGTCATGTTCAAACTTGCCAAACACGCACATCCTATCCCGGTCTGACATGTAGTGAAACTGCAACCAACACTCTCAACCTTAGTACTGCGTGTGACTCATTTTTTTTGTGGCAGTCGTGTAGGAGTAGGGAGGAAGCGAATTTCGTAAAATGAGCTTATGAGCTAATACATGATATAAGTGGATACTGATTGTAGATCCGACGGGAGATATTATTGGTCATCTGCATGTTCAACACTGATACAGACAAACAGGGTCGTCTTCTTCTCACTCCCATGACACCAGTGTTGAGGTCATGGGAAAGAACTTAAAAATTTCCTCTTCTCCGTGCCCTGGATTTGCCAGCAGTGCTCCGATTGCACTGCGTCCATCTAGGGCTCCCTGGGGATGATGTCATATGTTCAGTATTCAGTTATGATAACAGTGGTGCAGGCCAGCTCAGGTTGGCTTGGAAAGGCCATGAAGTGAAAAGAGAAGCAGTGCCAACACAAAAGCAAAATACAATTTAATGGCATATAAAAATTTTGGGGTGGAGTCTGATTTTCCCTCCATCAAATCTCAGCTCCCCAGAAGTAAAGCCAAAATGTCTTGATCGTCACCTGGTGGCTGTCTGTAGTATAGGCCATAAATCCCACCTCCTCCGTGTTAGTGTATGGACCAAACTAAAATGTAAAAATACACGTTAAATAAATCTTTTTCAAAGGTGGTTTCAGCCATTTTAGGTAGTTGTTATCACACTGATGTTTGTCCAAGTGTTCATTTTTCCAGTTAGTTTGGTTTTAATTAGTAATTATATGCTATAAAAATGCAATGAAACATCATGATTGACAGCTGACACTGACTCGTGATTGGTTGAACGGGTGTGAGGATGGGGCCTCAATACTGGCTCCATCTTCTGATTGCTACAGCACAGACTCTGTCTCCAAATGTGCAAGATGGCAGCTTTTGTATTCAGGATACTTTGGCTTAATTTCTGCATCGTGGGAGGAAGTGGAGACGGGTCATCCATCTTTATATCCAGTCTGTCCAAACAGAAGTTTTGTCATGGGCTGCTAAAATGAATCCTCCTGACTAAAGTGATCTGACACCACATGTAGTGCACCTGGCATTAAAACAGAATTTGTCCATTACCCACGTTCATGTCTAAATAAATACCTAAAAACTATTGACTTTCTCATGATCCTCATGTTTACTTATTGATAATAAGCAAATGTTAGCATGCAACATATAAAAGCCTTAAAAACAATTTTACTTTGCTTGCTCAAAACCTATTTATAACCTCCACCAAGGGGGGTTATGGTTTTAGCCCCTGTCCATTTGTTTGGCTTGATCTGGACCAAGCTGCAGACTTTGTGAGAGAGGGCTTTTTTGTTTAGTTTTTTAAACATTTTCACCAATGTCCCAGGGGGTAATTCATGGATCTTAATGATAAAAGGTATATTAAAGGCACTGATATCTAGGAGGGTGTGAAATCTGTTTTGGGTTTGATGCAATGTAAGGGGCTGTTGGGCCTTGGCAGAGCTCTATTGAGTGTCATTTTCTTCAGCAAATGTTCTGTGTGAGCTCTCACATTGTAATAGCCTCCTACACTAAATAAGTACATAAAACATCATCCTTTAAATCCTCTCGCTAAAAAAAGAATGGTAGAAAGACTCCTCACATTTAATTTAGAAGAAATATTTATATCTATAGCTTCTGGCTATGCTCATGCTCAAGTCTGCTAATAACCCAATTTTAAAGGGCACACTAATAAAATTGGCCACATTACTGTTTTAAATTTAAGGAAAATCATTTTTTGTCTTTAGAGTCCATTTAAAACGAAACGTTAATTCAAAATGAAGAAGATTTAAATCTGCTCTCGTGTCCTGGTGATAAATCCACCTGTGGTCTTTGCAGGTGACAATCATCGATACAGGAGTGAGGGGGATGATCGCTGTGGGTTTGGTCCCTCAGCTCTACAAGCTGGACCATCAGCCGGGCTGGCTCCCACATTCTGTGGCTTTTCATGCTGATGATGGCAAGTATGTGTCACTGATAAATGTATTAATAACCACACTGTACTTACACACATTCTTAAGGATACAATACATGGCCATGCAGCAGAAAACTCTAAATCTGTCTCAATATGTTTTACATTTTGTGAATGTTATACACATCCCCTATATAAAAGCTACTGTGTACAGTATAAGTAGTAGTGGCACAGACTGAGGAACTGCGAGCAGAGCACTTTTGTGTGTTCATGAAGAGCTCAGTCAAACAAACTAGGGAACGTCATGACAGGACACACTTTTATGTTTTATGCTCAGTTCTCGGAAACCATTTACTACTTCTAGAAAAATAATTTTCAGTCACTGTGATAGAATAAAACTTGATCTGATGTTTTAGGAACTTGCTCATACACTCTTAACACTTCCCATAAAAAGTCTCACACTGCTGGGAACTCAAAGAAACCAACATCGCACAAGCACTGTGGTGTCTAACATAAAGTTTGGACTCATTATTTTTTATGCCTTCATTAGAGACAGTTAAGAGACGACAGGAAATGAATGACATGCAGCATTTGGCGTGATTCGAACTGTGGATGTTTCGGTTAATGGTGCAGCACCTTTAACGCCCAGGTCACCCCTGTAATTTAGATTTTTATTTAAACATCTGGGATTTATCAGTGTGATAAATGTGACTCAGAGTTCAACTAAAGAATGATGCAATCAGTACAAGCGCCAGGTAGTGCAAACATGCAGGAATGCTTCAAAGGTACTTTGGGGACCCCAGGCAAAAGGGAACTAGGGGGCACTATGCTGAACCAAACTGAACCCCCCCATTCTCCTCAACCAAACCTCTAAATAAACAAAGCTTTTGGCAGAAAGTTAGTGGCACTGGGCATCATTAAGGGGTTTCCGACCATGGTGTCAGCCAATCATAGAATCTAAGGGGCTTCTCACAAATTTGTGGTTGCTGTGGATTAACGTAATCAATTGTTCATAGGGGCCCCCCTTTCAGCTTAGGGCCGTGGGCAATTGTCTGCTTTTCCTCTTTTACCTCTGTTCCAACACATTACATTACATTTAGCTGACACTTATCCAAAGCGACTTACGATAAGTGCATCAATCATGAGTAAGTACAATTTGCTTCAAAAAAGCCAAACTACAAAGTGCTACAAAATGGTGGGGGCTACCACAGAGTTGTCAATGGTAATAGTCAGGTCATGGGTGGGAGCGACTTGCCCTGGAAGGAAAAGTAGTTCGGTCTTGTCAAGGTGGTGTGTAGACATGAGAGATGTCAGTCATACAGGCAGAGATTTGTGCTGCAATCTGTGTTTCGGATTGAGGAAAAGAGAGGATTAGTTTGGTATCATCTGCGTAGCTGTGGTACCCAACTAGCTACCCACCTAACACCACTTCAGACATTAAAAGCATAATTTCTTTGTTTTGTAACATTTACTGGGAGAAAGATGACACAAGTGAGCTGACGATTATTTAGTATTTTTGCTGAATGGTCATCGTCTGAAGTTTTCTTGTAAACATCTGCAATATCTGAAAACGATGAGCCACGTTAATCAGCAGTTCATCCTCTTCATCATGTCTCTCTACAGGCTGTATAATGGCAACACTGTGGGGCAGCAGTTTGGTCCAAAGGGCTGCAGAGGTGACAGAATCGGCTGTGGAATATCCCTGGAATCAGATGATGGACAACTGACTGTGTTTTTTACCAAGAATGGTAAAGAAGTATGTACTCCATTATTCTTGCATTACTTTACTTTTCACTGAATGTCTTCAATGAGTACAAGTTTAAAAGTGAATGCCTTTTTTTCCCATTTTTCAATGTGTGCTCATGCAGGTCGGCAGTGTCGAAATCCCAGCATCGCCTGAAGCTCTTTACCCCGCTGTAGGAATGCACTCTTTGGGGGAGGAGGTGCTGCTGGACCTGAATGCTGAGTGGGGGATGGAGGAGGATGATGGACAGATGATTGTGGACAGTCATGAAGAGGACTGGGGCCGTCTCCATGATGTCAAGGTGACCGGCACGGTAAGTCCTATCAATTTTACAGCGAATAAAGATAATATAAAATCTGAAAGGTCATCTCCCACATAAAGCCTCATGCTGTGTAATGGTGTCAGCGGGAGGATGAACTAGAGAAAAACTGTGCACAAAAGTTTAATTAAGGTCAGCGGCTCACTGATTGGTTTGGCTCCTTTTGTCCTGCCCAGTGGTGGGTTGAGTAAACAGAAACAGCACTCAAGTAAAAGTGTTGTTACTTCATAATTATTATACTTGAGGGAGAGTAAAAAGAATCTCATTAAAAACACTCAAGTAGAGAGTAACTTCATCAGAATGTATTGCGTTTAAACAGGTTATTGGGCGGTAAGAACATTGTAATCAACACATTCATTTTCATTAATAAAGACATATTCAATACCAGGTAAATGCTAAAATACATTTGGTTAAGTACTGTTTGCTTTCAAACATCAAGAAAAGAAAACAAGCAACACTCTTATTATGATTTTCAACTAAGTCTTGAAACAGCAACTCAGATATACTGTAAGTATTAGCTGCTGAGATAGAAAGACATATATAGAGGTGTTTACTCCTCCCTGAGACAGCAGGACTGCAGTGTTTGTGTGTGACTCAGACACCGATACGCACAAAACCTGAACTGAAAGACGATGGGAGGAGAACGCAGCTGAATCGCCTTCAGGCAGGAGCAAATTACCTGCCACCCTCACAATTATTTATCCTTTATTTTTACAAATCTGGACCAGTTTTCACCACAAACCACAGTCTGAACTCCCTGTAAGTCATCACTTAACACATGTGCGTGTCCTAATATGACATAAAAGCTGACACTTTTGTTATTGTACATCTTGGTCTCACGGTTTATTTTTCTACTTGAGAGCAGGCCCAGATCTAGACTGCTCAGATTAGTGGGGCAATTAGAAAACAGTGGACTTAGTGTTGAGTGTTTTTTTCTAGATTTAAAGAACACATCACAATAGGAAATTCAACCAAGCTGTGGTATGATAATGATAATTATTATTTAAATTAGAGAGATGACTATGGCTATAAGAACAGATCCTAATGTAGAGTTCAAACATGAAATATGAAAATGCCCATGTGTGAAATTGTTCAGTCAGAATTTTGAGTAGTGTGGCCCTGTTGCTGCTCAAACTTCTGATCGACTTGCTTCTCTTTTCAAATCTTAACCTACTTCTACAAATTATTTTGAATAATTTTGAGTACACTTCTATTTACAGTAATGTAATGTTCAAGAATTGACATAGTAGTACATTAAACATCAATTAGCTGCGTATGACAACTTTAAGTGAAGCACTATCCAACCAGGTACGTTAAGAATTAGATGCTGGACAGAACAGCTTCGTCCCCTAAAGAAAAATAAATCTTTTTTCCCATTAATGTATTTATTTTGAGATGGTCATGTTCATCTTCTGGGGAAGTTTTGGAAATGATTAATATTTGTTGGTGTTATTTCCAGTGCTGGAGGTCATAAACAGTTATGTTGTTGCTGTTGTCGTAGCTTTGGTTGTAGAAGCCAAACAGTATGATCTAGAAAGCACGAGTCCCAGTCTCTGACCTCTTTTTCCAACTGATCATCTCACATCCCTTTTAGGGTTAGGTCTGAATAAAATACGCGTCTCATCTTGTTGAATTCTTGTTTGTCCCAACCTGAGAAGGAGGCAGCAGCAGCCATGTCAGTGCAGGAACTGAGCGGATTTTGAGTCATAATGAGAATTTGAACACACTCCACTTGTGGTTTTACACAGCCCAGCTGACACACAGAAACAAACAGTTGTGGTAGTGCTTCATTTAGCCTGTACAAGTTAATAAAGACAAGATTTATTAGGGTTATTTAAAATAGCACAGATTTGAATGAATATCGATTCAATAAAGCAAAATTAATGACTCAGTAACCACAGTACACTTTTAAAGCTTCAAAGAAAGTAGTGCATTATGCATTATGGAGGTTAGTGGAACAGAAGCTACTTTGGAAATGGGGCAGGACCTCAGGTTTCTATATGGGACAGGAAAGCTGCTTTAAGCCGGGCTGTGTAACTTTTCTGAACATCAGCCACGGTTGCCACAGTGACAGTTAAAGGGTTTCTGTTAAACACTAAAACAGTCACACCAGTAGAGAAGACTGACAAAGTCAACTAACAGACTCAGTAATGTTAGTCACATAGCAATATTTTCCTAAAGTTGCCTAACATATTCTAACATTAGCAACCAAAACTATTGATCATATCAGACTATTTGTTGTCTAACTTATTAAATAGTGCAGCTTAATTACAAATAATTACCATTTAAGTCAGTGCACACCAAAGACTATATATAAAGCTCGACGACATAAAAATTAAAACTTGGACAAACATCAGTGTGAAAAAACTACCCCAAACTACAGAAACCATCATGGATGGGGCGGGTTTATGACCTACACTGCGACCAGCCACCAGGGGGTGATCCAGATGATTTGACATCCCTTTTGGGGACTTTTCATATTATCCATATTTATATACAGTCTGGTGCAAAAACCTACTCAACTTAAACAAAAAATTGCTTTGACTTAACAATTTACAGCTGAACACTGTTTTTAAATTATGTCCTCCTCATATAAATCCTATAAACTGTGTGTGTGTGTGTGTGCGTGTGTGTGTGTGTTTCTCAGCTGCTGGAGTACGTTGGGAAGGGGAAGAGCATTGTGGACGTGGGGTTGGCTCAGGCTCATCGGCCTCTAAACACACGCTTCCACTACTATGAACTGGAGATCACGGATGCTGGAGAGAAGTGTTACATCGCCCTGGGTCTGGCACGCAGGGTAAGAGTCTCCTTGTTTTATACATCACCGTAATGATCCCATCGCCATCGCCAGACCTTGGGTTACTCGCATTGTGAACTCTGTTTATCTGCCAGCAAAGAAAACTGTGTTTCCCTGCTGTCGCACCTCGTCATCCCACGTTCTCATACGCACTGCTGCGCTCACTGTTTCCAGTCTGAGTGATGGATGACTGAAAGAGGAAAAGCTATCAACAGAATAAATATTGTCTCATTTTACCCCCACATCTGGGTTTCCATAGAGAGCAGGTTTCAATTGCATACTAACCTACCATGTTAACTACGATACTGTGAACCTTTTTCTGTTTGTCTCCGTTGTTTGCTATCAAAGCTATATTTTGCTCCATGAGTCCACACAAGAAGGAGGAAACAGAAAAGATTTAAAGTTTGCAGCGTTTCCTCAGGCTAAGCAATTAATGGTTGATAACCCGATTCATTTGGCTCCGTTACGTTGTATTTAATCAGAAATGATGACAGCTAGTGATGATCCATATTTTGGAAATAAGGTGGGTCTGAAAGACAACTTGTTGAATGTTTATACATCAGAGATACCTCTGGCCTTGAATGAAATCATCATGAACTCATGCACATCCTGTTTAATATAAATAAAGCAGCTTAATAATTGCTGCAGACACAGTCATCATGTCATTTAAATGACAGATATGAAAGGACGTTTGGTTCAGCGTGTTGTTTTTTGCTGTGATGTTCAGCGCTCGCTCTGTTCTGTTATTGGAAGCTAATTGATCAAGCGTCACTCTAATCACACTGCTGTTTTGCCAGCTGTGATGGTCCCTCTCTGATTGGGGGAGGCGGTGGAGCTCTCACCATCAACGTCGAGCTCAGCCATCAGTTACTGTGCGTTGCACCCCCAGCTCAGACCTGCGTGAAGAATAGACCTCTTTTCATTTCACTGTTGTTTTCCCAGAATTGTTTTCTCAACTTGTCTGAGGTTTTGTTCCACCTCCCATCATTTCCCGCAAGAGACATCAGTAGTGTTTCAAATCAATCTCGCTCTCTTTCTCTCAGGGTAACACATTCCTTATAGTTATTCTTTAGTTGCTTAAATTGAATAAAGGAGTAATTGTTTATGGTGCATTCCTTTGGTCACTTCTGATTCTCCTTGTGTTTCACGCCCCAGTCATTACAAACACCTTATTGCTTTAATTCTGTGTTGTTCCTCCAGTCAAACCTTGTCATCCTTTCCCTTACAAAACCTCATTTTTTTGGGCCATCTTCACTTTAGACCTCCTGGAATCAGATCTGTGTTCTTGTGTGAAATCCAGACGGTAGCTGTTGTTCAGAGGAGATTGAGCTGATCGTTATCACACTGAAAGTGGAAGATGTTGGTTTGCTGTTAGTCTGACAAACTCAAATCCATGTACAAATCTTAATATATAATGTTCTACAGGAAAAAGGAAATACTAATAAATCAGAAGAAAATCAGGATGTGTTTTTTATATTTGAATCATTGTCTTTGCTAACAGCCCTCACCATAGTACGTACCCTATTAACTACAATGATGCATAGTTTTCTTTTACCGACGCCAGACCTCGTGGAATCTAGGCCATTAGCAGGCGGCACACAGGCAACAGTGCACTGTGCGGCCAAAACATAAAGACAGTGGACTGTGGATTGATAGAGAGGAGACAAAGGTTTACTGTCTTGCACAAGTCATGGCTCATTTATTTGTGTTAACAAAAATGTCCCTCACACGATCTCTGCGTTTTTCACTCACTACCTCACTTAAATACACAACCACAAACATAAAACTACATAAAGTCACATAAGACATTCTCTTATAACAGTGAATGTGAAACTAGTGTAAACATGGCATTTCTGTCACTATTGTCTTAACAATACTAGGAACACATTTCTTTATGTCATAGGTTACTTAGTTACACACACTTTTGAAACTATGCAACGTCACTTTAACGTACTTGTTAACACTATGATCGGCATGACTGCGCTCATTAAACTACGTTTCAAAAAAACTACTTGTTACATTTCTCTACTACCTTAAACAGTACACAACTAAAAGTACATTTACATCAGCTTTACAACCATCATTGTCAGTGTTCAAGTCATTTAAAAAAGTCCACTTACCATACCATGACAAAGGTTCCATCTCGTAGTAGTTTGAAGCATTAATTGAAAGATCAACATGATACTTTGATGTACTACAGTGTATACTTGTGACTACTATGTACTTGCATCCTAACATTCTGTGTGGATTTACAGGACTACCCTAAGAACAGACATCCAGGTTGGAGCAGAGGGTCAATAGCGTATCATGCAGGTGAGTTCTAGCTCATCCTGTTGTGAGCGATTTGTTTTATCTCATTTCATTTGTATACAGTATCATATCTTACATCTTGCAGTGTGCACATTGACTATGCTACAAATTATCACATTGGTAACGGCACCAAATCATCGCTTACATTTCTGCAGAAAGGAGACTATAGATTATAGCCTTGATTATGTAGATATTTAAAAGGTTGTATTTGATTTCTTTCATCAGCAGGAATCAGCAAGATGAAAAAGATTCATGTAAACATTGGCAATCATTTTTAAAATGTGCATCTTAATTGTATCAGAGTCTCATGAATGAAACATGATGCAGTACTCCGCCTCCCTGCTGTCCTTCACAGATGATGGAAAGTTGTTCCAGGGCAGCGGGGTTGGGGATGCGTTTGGACCACGCTGTTTTGAAGGGGATATTATGGGCTGTGGGATCATGTTTCCACGTGACTTCAACCCTGGTTTGGGAGGTGAACATCTTCATGTTGTTTCTACATTCTACAAGCACTGTGCCTCACCTGTGCTGCAGCCTCTAACTGTCTCGCTGTCTTTCTGTGTCTGTGTTCTTTCAGATGACGTAGAGGACTGGGACTTCGACGTGTTTCCCAAACCCTGCGAGGTGCAGAATGACTTGTATGCAAACAATGAAGATGAGGAGGAGGACGAGGGAGAGGATTTGGAGGGGAGGAAGGTCACAGTGAGTTTCTGTCAGAGTCTCGGAATATGAAAACAGGGACTTTTAAAGATTGGCTGCAAACATTTATATGATGTCTCCTGTCATCTTCTGTTTGAACAGGTGTTCTTCACCAGAAATGGAAAGGTAGTAGGTCGGAGAGAGGTGGCCTTGCCGGTTGGAGGCTTCTACCCAACAATTGGCATGATGAGCACTGGGGAGAAGGTCAGAGTGGACCTGCACCCCCTCAGTGGCTGAGCCGATGGGGTAAATGAAAACGGTGAAGTGGTGAAATCAGAGCTCAGGTACATTTTGGAGAATGGACAATAAATAATACCTCCGCATCTGCAAAGGCTCCAAGATGTTACTTGAAAATTCACTCCAGTGTTGAAGGTCACTGTGGCTCCCTGGTGCTCTAAGAATTATTTAACATGCTGGCAGAATTGTTTTTGAATCAGGAATTATCCAAAATAATGTATGTTAATATGACATGTGCCTAAAAATCGTTTTATAATGAAATTATTTTTTATTGATTGAAATTGTTTCACCAGAGGTTTTAAAGGGTAAAACACTATTTTTGACAATTTAATTCTCTAATAAAATGCCAAAAAAACGGTCTCGCCAGAATATTGAATGTAAAAATCCAAACAGAACAGGCTCCAGTTAACAAATAAAACCCACCTGTCCTCATAAGAGAAGCATTATCAGCAACAATGAACATCAACAGATAACTGGCACCACTCTCACACTGCAGCCATACTGTGCTGATTACCAGAGGTCTGATGTAGTTCTTCCTATTGACGGTGTATTACTGACACTCAGTGGTGAGACAGATCATGTTCTTCCAAAGAAACAGTTGTGCACTGAATGAACAGTGAGTTCACTCTCTGTAAAACTAGCTGCTTGACCGCTGTCCTTCTGTATGAGTGTGGGTGGACTTATGACTGCATATTTATTAGCAAATGTGCAAGTCACATGTTTTGAGTGCTGTGGGATAATTAAGTTCAAGAACAATTTGTTGGAACTAAATCCGAATGATCATTATGAACTTTCATTTTTATATTGAAATGTCAGTTTTTCTTTCAAAGTCAATGTTGGTTTGACGATCATGACTGGGTTCCTTTTGATCTGGGACAACTTTAGTGTTTAATACATTACAGACAATGGACCGTCATTTGATACATATACAGGTAATATTTGTCATAAACATCTGCACCTAAAAGATGATACAGCAAAACCAAAACCCTGTCCAAAAATAATATATAGCGAAAGTTCTACATGATTTTTGAATATGAACATTCTTATTGACCATGAACACAAACAAAAAAAACAAATAGGGCTGGACAATATAGCCAAACTATAAAAAGAATAACCTAATATCAATAATTACCAAGATAAATGCCCCAATGATATTTCTTGTTGTAAGACTTGTTTTAGATCTGAGTCAGATTAGTTATTAGACTTCCTCACTAAGCTTGCACAATGCACACACATGATATCGATACATACTGAACCTTTGTTTGTTGCTGTTTGTTTTGCTTTAGATGAAAATGATATTGCGATAATTATTGATATTGTTTTATTACCCAGCCCTACAAATAATGCCTAATATTCAATCAATCAAAGTGATGCTGCTTTTCCTTTATGAGAACTTTTTTTTTTTTTGAGGTTTGGATATTTTTCAAACACCACAGAAAAGACACTTTGTAGATGTGAATGGTATTAGATATGTTGTCTGTTGATCATTTGTGTATTTTGGAGGAATTAGATACCAACTGTCACAAAAAGGGAAACTCATCAAGGGCAGGAGTATCAAATCCTGTCAGGACAAGAGCAACTAGTGACCACACGTGTTATAGTTCAAAACGTCTGAGTAGTTAGAATATTTAATCAAAGGTCTGAATGTTGAAAATGAAGCCTTAACTAAGATTTGCTGCTCTTGATATTAGAATATTAAACAATGACCTTGTCTTTTCTAAGATCATGTTGTGATTATGTTGTTTTAGCCGTTTTTTTGTAACAACCTGTTATTTACCTGTAAAACTTTTTAAGATTTACATTTTTCCCACAACATTTGTGTCAATAGTAAACAATGGCAAAGTAAAATGAATACAAAATGCTTTGGTTTTGTGATGCCAAATTTTCCACACAATGCTGCTTTGGCATGAACTCAGACTACACTTGCATCAGGTTTCCCTGCAGATCTCTGTGTGTTGGAAGTTTTTAGTATTTGTACAAGTATGACAATCGCTGGCGACAGCTGTGACTTTAAATTTTTACTGTGATACTGTTTATTAATGTTTCACATTTGTTTAGATCTGCAGAAACGGTTATTATTGTGCAAGTCATCAAGACACTAAAGGCACTTTACAGTAGAATACTGATTTGCTGAACTTCAAATGTTTAAAAAAAACAAATGACCTGTGTGAAAGTGATCGGGTACAGATCCTTTATTAAATTAAACATAGGATCCAGAGGGGTGATGGAAGTAAACTGCAGGTCACTGAAAAGGTCTAAAAAACTATTTATTGGATCCAATATTCATTTGAATAAGGTTGATTGAAATGCTGCTGTATTGCAAAAAGGTTCAGTTCTTCCACTTTTCATCATTTTGCTGATCACACTGTGTGTTAATCATCATCTGGTTCACAGGAGCAAATAATGGTCCTCTGCTGCTGTTGCCTGTCTCCGACATGTTGATGTATAATATTTTTTCTTTTTTCAAATTTGGTGAAATTAATCTTCAATCAGGTTTAACATGATTGTGGTATTTTTAGTACCGTCCCATCCTGCCTGTGAATCCACTCTATGTTCCTCCTCTATGGTTGTGTATCCTGTTGACTTTCCTCTCATCCATTCTCTCTCTTTACACTTGAAGCAATAAGATTCAAATTATGCCAAAAATAATTAAAAGAATATTCACTCACTGCACCTGATTCCTTTTCATCCTTTTTCTCTCAGGTTTAATATGGAAAACCTTTTCTGCTGGTGATGACTTTAAATGTAAATTGGATGACCTTAGATGTTTTTGAATTTTCTTTTTTTAATTCAGGCAAAATCTTGAGATGACATTATAAATGTTAATACTATTTCCACTTCTGCACAGGGCTGTGCTTTTAACGATTTAAAACTTCAACAATTGTTAATCTTTGGTGGCTGTTCAGAGAAAGATTCTTGGTGTTAGAAACGTTCTGTAGCATGCTGAATATTTGAAAACTCCACTGCATATTACAAGAGAACAAATCATGGAGTCTTCATTAGAGTATGAAAATTGCAAACTTTAAAAAACTTTGTGTAAACCTTTGAAAGGTTATATTTATCATCCAGTTGAGTGAGTTTTTTCTTTGGCTTAATGTTTGTCATGGTTAGCTTCTTCTCAAGCAGAAAACTAATAAACAAATGTATCAAACAACACAAATGGAGAAGGCCCAAAGAGCTGACACAGGTTGAGATAGAATGTAAGTGTTAAAGGTAACTAAATATACGTTTTCCTTTTATTTGGGTAATGGTGGTTTAAACAGTTCAAGTATAAAGTTTGACCAAGACCAGGTTCTTGGACCTCCTGATAGAATCACAGGACATGATCAGTTTCACATACTAGTTACACCCATGGTTAATATAACGTAATCAATTCTAGATTCAGAGGCATTTTTTCCAAACCTGGGATTTTCTTTTTACATTATAATGAACAAATTTGTCTGAAGAACCAAACTCCACATAATGACACAGAATTTCCTTCTCTCTCTGGTGCTGCCTGTAATTAAAAGACACTTTTATGTGCAACCAGCTGCAAATAATACACAACTCATGATGCACACAATTATCAGAAGATGAGATCCAGAATTGATTGAGTTTAATAGATTTGCACCTTCCAGTATAATCAGGAGTCATATAAAAGCTGTTTCACATATTTTTACAGTATATAATTAAAATGTAAAAAAGAAAAACATTTGTACTTTAATACAGTAATTAAAGGCAGTAATTAAATCAGTTTTGCACAAACAACTAATGGATTTTTTTGAATCACTCATTAAACACTAAAATCTGACAAAGCTAATTGATGAGCTACTTTTAACCAGAGAAAAACAAAGCTGACAGTTACCTGGTGAACGGACATGACAATGAAATTGTGAGATGTTCCTATGAGTCAGAGTCCTCCTCCTCCTCGTCATAGTAGCGGTTCCTCTTAATTATATCCTCTGCACTCAGCTCCTCAGCGTCACTTCCCTCTTTGTCTTCCTCCCAGAATCCCACATCCTGGGAGGTGCGGTTCTGTTTCGGCTGCAGAGGCGGAGAAGGGGATGGGGAGATGTCTGGAGAGATGCTCCTCAGAGAGCCCTCCTCCGCAGCCATCTTGTCCGCTCCCGCTGATGCATCTTCTTCCTTTACTTGTTCGTCTCTTTCTTCCTCCTGCTGCTGGAGCACAGTGGCTACGTCCTCCTCTGAGATGCTTGCATGTGCTGCATCTTCACTTGCTATCTGAGCCACCTTCTGTTCCTTCTTCTCAGGCTTCTCCTGCTGCTGCTCTGCTTTGTTCTCATTTGGCGATTGTTCAGATGGGTTTCTTTCTTCAAATGATGCTCTCCAGTCCAGTAGGGACTTGAGAGGCCGCCGAGGCTCCCTGGGAGCCAGACTGGGTGCAGGGGTGGGTTTACCTGCGATGGTAAAAGGGCGAGTGCGTTCCTTCATCGAGGAGCTCCTCCTCAGACTCTTCAGTTCGACCCGATCTGAGCTCTGGAAGGATGATGGTGCCTCTTCCTCTGGGGGCCACTTGGCTCTCCAGGGCCTGCTGGAGGTCACTCCTTCTGTGACCGGACTGAGCGCTGCTGTCCCGGATAAGCTCTCACCAGCCGGAGGAGGCCAAGCGATCCTCAGCTTGCGTTTCTCAGCTGGCCGCTCTGTAGACTCATGTTTCTCACTGGAGCTGACGTGTGTCTGCGCACGTGTCTCCATTAAGGCAGTCATGTCCGTGACCTTTACCTGTGCGGACATTTCCTCAGTCGGGGTTGGCTGTTTGTCTGACTTACTCTCAGTTGGAACCTTCGCCTCCACTGGTTCCTCTGCTTCTTTGGGCTTCACAGCTTCTTCACCCTCTTCACCCTCCATTCGAGGTTCCCACAGCTCCTTGTGCGGGCGATGGCCGAAGCCCTCGTCATAGTTGCCCTTGGCTTTGAACAGCTGGCTGTAATGGGGCTTGCAGTAGACATTACCGTGCAGAGAGGCATAGTTCCCAAGACTAAAAACAGAGAGGAGCAAAGATTTTATTTTGCCTCAGGAGGAGATTATAGATTCTTTGACCAATTTTCCTGTCTGTGGTTCTTGAGCAGCCACCCACTGAGGAGTGTACTCCCGGATTTTATTAAGAATAAACTCGGCAGAAAGAGACTAACCTGAGCTTTGTGCTGCAGTGAACACAGCGGAAGCAGCTTTTGTGGTAGACATGCTGCTGAGCCACCAGTCTCTCCAGGGGGTACACAGTCTTTAAACAAGCGAAGCACACCTCCCTCGCCGGCGGGCAGAACTTCTACATAAACAAATATTAACACATTTATTCATAATCAAAAGAGGTTGAAATGGGATTTCTACTGATGATTCGTGTATGTCGTATGATTGTCGTGATGAATGACTCACCCTGGCTGCTTTGGGCGGCTCATTGCTTTCACCTAAAAATACACAAACAAATGCAGAAGTTGTAATTCTCTGTTGGTTTGAATAAGATGCACTGATAAGGGCAGTCATTTCTAACTGAATCTCATTCTAGATGCCAAAGTAATTTGGGTAAATTAATTGTGTAATAAATGTTCTATTTCACAATTTACACGAGTGTTAAACTGCATATATAATGTTAATGTGCAAAATAATTGTCCTTCAATTTACCACCGAGACTCACCATTGCACTCGGGTGCAGGTACCTTTTTCCGAGGTGCAGGTGCAGAAGTATTTGGAGAAGGCACCTCTGTGGTCACACCCTGAAGGAAACACACAAGAAAGAAACACAACCCTTTGTGTTAAAGGTCCAGTGTGTAAGATTTAGGTGAAAGGGAACTATTGGCCGAAATTTAATGTAGAATAATCCTCATAATGTTTTCACTAGTTTGTTTCATCTAAATTGTATGAATTGTAGTTTTCTTTATCCTAGAAAAGACCCTTTATATTTAAATACTTCATATTTACACTGAGGGGACCCTCTCTACGGAGGCTGCCATGTTTTTTACATTAGTCCAGACTGGACAAACTAAACACCTTTTGAGTTTTTATGACAACTGAAGCTACCACAGGTTCTTTTTCATGTTTGGAAGGAGAGGGTGAGGTGAGGGGTGTTCAGCTGCAATTTCAACACTAGACATCACAAAATTCTACACACTGTACCTTTAAGTGACTGTGAGATAATAAAGCAGTGTGTTTCTCTATTTCTGGAGTAGGAAGGGAGAGAAAAAACAAGTAGGAAGGGAGCAAACAATAGATATTCAGTTACATTCGTAGATGGATTGTTACAGAAAAAGACATAAATCATTAGAGCACAATGTTGTGCCCATAGCTTTTTTTCTTTTATGAAGGATTTGATCAAGTTCCCTAAAAACCCTGATTTACTTTAGAGTAGGTTTAATAGTCTGAAGCTAAAATCAATGTTCATTTCTAATTCAACTGAGCACATACCAGTAATATATGTTTAAGACTAAAATATGTTATTCATGAAGCATTCAATTCACTTATATGTAAAATTTTGGACATTACTTACAGCTACCTACAGTTTATGAGGGCTACTTCTTAATACACATTGAATCCAGAGATTATGTATGTCTTAGTATATAGATCAATAAATAGTTATACTTCAATAACTATAAGAGTAGTAGACTTTTAATAGGTGTGTGAAAATGTTCAAGAATAATATTTGGCTGTAACCACTGCTTTGGTTTTAAACTGATAATATAATGTTTATTGAAAAGGCTAAAATAATGGTTATGGGTCTTTAAAGAATTTTAAGTAAAATGTTTAAGTAAATTCTTTTAACATATGTTAGAGATATTACATGTTTTTATCCACAAGGTGATCTTTGGCACAGTGGTAGTACATTTTGATACAACAGAAGGAAATAATCAGAAAGCCACCCTGATCATTTCTTTCTTTAACATGCATTAGCCGTATGAATAATGGGCTTTTAATTGTCCACAGCATTACATTAGCAAGTGCCTTGGTTTATTTCCTTTTTTAATATATAATGTTTCTAATTCAGCTCCTTTTGCATGTACTCACTGGTCCAGCAGTGCCTTGTTTAGAAACAGCAGCCTGGTACTTTGCCATCTTCTCCCTCAGGGACATCGCCTCTAACACTCTGTCAGTCACAGAAAGGCCTGAGGCAGAAGAGAAGATTATGATTTCATGATGTTGCAGAAACTCATACAATGATTCCTCATCACTTTAAAGTAACATTCAGGATCCAATAGATCCAATTAACTTATAAAATAAAAAAAAAGTTTGAGGGAATTAGTTGAAGTTCATGTATGATGTCACTCCATCAACATGAACCTCAAGTTAGTAGATTGTGTGTGTGCATGAGTGTTTCTGTGTACCGCTACGCTGCTCCATGTCTTCTGATGAAGTACTGCGTAGAGTTGTCCTGCCGACCTGTGAGAGTGAAATGATTGGTGTTTATTAAATCTATCCACAATAAATGTTGGCAGGTGTGAAAATATCCACAACATTTGATAAACGTTACTTTAGGATATCAGACGCTGACTGTATTTAACAGGCGCCTGAGGAAGATCCTTGTGCTTGAAATCTCACTGAGCGTCTGGAGTTTCCCCATTTTTTTTTTTTTACTAGGTTTGCATGTTGTTCCCATACCAGGATATATACATTAGGATTCCAACGTCACCAACTCCACCAAGGAAACTGAAATTCAAATTCGCCAAAGCAGCCTGTA